CGCAGTTAGCACGCCTAGCGGCATGCTCTGGGAATGGCTAGTAATGCCACAAGGGCTTAGTAATGCCCCTGCCACGTTCAACAGATGTGTATCACATCTGTTGAGACCAGTACGAGAATTCGCGCCGAGTTATTTCGATGGCGTATTTATCCATAGTCGGGCTATGGATGGAAAGTCGGATGTTGAGGCTCACAGGTTCCACGTCCGACAGGTTCTTACAATCATGCGAAAGCATCAATTGTATGCCAATCTCAAGAAGTGTATATTTGCAGCAAGCGAAATACCACTTCTTGGGTGCATCGTTGGTAAGAACGGTGTACGTCCAGATCCCAAAAAGATCAAGGCAATCACCGACTGGCCTGTGCCAGTTGATGTCAAAGGTTTTCGAAAATTCTTAGGCTAGCAGCGTATTTGCATAAGTATTCACGCAATTACGCCGAGATGACTGTGCACCTCTCTCGTTTGTTGAAAAAGAACGAGATTTGGTTATGGAACGCTGAATGTCAGCGCTCCTTTGATGGGTCAAGCAGAGCTTGATACAATCCCCAGTCCTAGCAATTGCCGATCAGGACAGGCCATTTCATGTGGTCTGTGATGCCAGCGATTTCGCAATCGGCTGTGCATTAATGCAGTGCGATCTTGAAGGCGTTGAACGCGTCGTCTGCTATCAGTCGCGTCAGCTGCAACCAGCTGAGCGGAACTATCCAGTGCATGAAAAGGAACTCCTTGCCATGAAGTATGCACTCGCGAAGTTCAGAGTCAATCTATTAGGAGATAGACCCTTCGTTGTTTACACTGACCATGCGTCATTACGCACGGCAGTAAACAGTCCGCACCTTTCACAACGAATGGCGCGGTGGTTGTCATTCTTTGCAGAATACAACTTTACGGTCAAGTACAAACCAGGACGACTTAATGTCGTCGCTGATGCACTCTCACGTCGTCCCGACTTTGAACCAGTCGTGAAACCCAACAGTGAGGCAGTCACTGTTGCGGTTATGACGTCCTCAGTCCCATCTACAACGTTGTATGATGATGTGAGGCGGGCATATGCCCAAGATGGTGAGATTGTGAAGTTGTTGACACATCTCTCACAACCATCTCGAGAATCGTTGAAACGATTGTCGTCTGCGTATCGATCTGCATCAGATCGATACACTACTCGCAACGGGTTACTGTATTATACAGCCGTTTCTGGTGACACACCACGTGTTGTCATTCCAGATGATACTGATCTACGTTTGCGGATCTTGTTCGAGTATCACGATGCTCCTATAGGAGGACATCGTGGCCGGGAGAAAACATATCCCACGGTCAGTCGAGACTTTTACTGGCCCCGCCAGTATCAGTTTGTGCGAAAGTATGTTCGCGCATGTGAAGTCTGCCAACGAGTGAAGTCAAGTCCTTCACTGCGTGCACCTTTACAGCCTCTACCGGTTCCGGCTGAGTGCTGGGAATCCATCTCAATGGATTTCGTCTTCGGGTTACCCAAAGACGCACGCGGGAATACGGGTATTCTCGTATTTGTTGACAGATTCAGCAAAATGGTACACATTGTGGCTGTACCAGAGACAATCACGGCAAGTGGCTGTGCTTGTGTATTTATTGACACCATCTTCCGACTTCATGGGTTGCCCCGTGAACTCGTATCAGACAGAGATCCACGATTCACTGCTGATTTCTGGCGTTCCGTGTTCAAATCACTCGGAACGCGCTTGAAGATGTCAACATCTGATCATCCAGAGTCAGATGGTCAGACGGAACGTGCCAATCGTGTCCTTGAAGAGATACTTCGAGGATACGTACACTCCTTTAAGAGTTGGAGTGAGTTCTTGCCAATGGTAGAGTTTGCCATCAACAACTCGGTGCATGCGTCCACAACACATACACCGTTTTACGTGAATGGCTTACGCCATCCGCGTGTACCCACCTTAATAGATCGTGACTCTGGTTTAAGGGGGGAGGGACTCGCGCGAGCAAAAACCGAATTGGTTCACGCTCATCACGCTCTGAGGAAGAAGTCATTGCGTTTGATGCCGATATCGATAACATCGATATCGAAGAAGATGATGCCAGTGAGAGCGAGGAACCCCTACTGAAGAAAAGATTGATGTTGCTGCAGTGCACTCACAGCGCACTGAAGCTAACGAGGAATGAGGCATCAGATGAGTTCATACTGGCTCGTGAAACGGCAGTCCGTTTTGTGCAAGACTCCATCGCCGAAGCGGTGGATAAGCGAAAGCAAAAGCAGACAAGAATGGAAGGGCAAACGCTCTTTTATTTAATAAAAGTGACTTAGTCCTACTGTCTACGGTTAATCCACCAAAGCATGTAGTGACTAACTTGGGTAGTAGTAAACTTCTACCCAAGTACATCGGCCCATTTCGTATATTGCACCGCCTAGGCAATGCATACACGATCGAGTTGCCACGTAAGATGCGAACGCATCCCACGTTTTACGTTGGTCGGCTTAAGCCGTACCATCGTTACGCTGCTTCTTCCGATGAAGAACGCCCTTGCGCTCAAGCATCTCGCAGAGAGCCTTATGCTCCCGATAGTGGGCATCGACAAGGGTCTGAAGAGCAGTTATCTCATCCCGAGACCGATCAACATTCCCACAAGCTACCCTTAGCTCGTCACGCAGAGACGTCAGAGATCTCTCGTTCTCAAGCTGAGCAAAAGCAAACTCAGCTTGATGCTTCAAGACATTGTCCGCCAGTTGGAGACGCCTGTCCCGCTCATGTTCGAGATCGTCGCGTAACCCTTGCGTTACGCGATCAAAGAAGCTCTCGGGAACACACGCTTCCCCACGATTGTGTGGAGAGCATCTTCCCTCCTCCTCCACCTCCATTCGAGGACTCTCGTGGTGGCCAGCGCTATCTGGTTGAGCAGCTGTTGGACCACCGCGACGTGAACGGACGTCGGACGAGTTATCTCGTCCGGTGGCGCGGCTATCCCCCGTCCTGGGATACTCGGGAGCCCCACTCCCAACTGATGGTTGACGTACTGGGTCTGGTTGTGCAGTACGACGCGGCACATCCTGTGCCGCAGAAGGACCGCCGGAGAAAGTCTTCCCGGCACGGTCGTAAAGGGATTTCAGGTTGTCAATCCCTTCGTACATCTCACTAGAGATACGTACGCGCCACCACGGGCTAGTAAGGAGGTAGGCCTCTTTAGTTGCGCGCGCAGAGTTGTTTACACAACATAAGCACGAGTCTCCCCAGGAGAGGCAGGGTACCCTTTCTCCCTAGACAGACGATGCAGCTTACAGCGTGCACCTGTCGGGGTTCGCTTTTCAAACTTATCACGAGCTTTGATAAGTTTGTCGTTCCAAACGTCACGACCTACATCCTCGAGGTTATGGATGTAAGCGTTCCACGCCTGAAGTAGTGAGGGACCGTCACGCTTTTGATTCCCACTGTACCATCGATGTCTAAAGAAAGCATCGATGAAGAATTCATTCTAAGTGTGATAGTTTTTCGCGCTGGGGTCAAGGTGATGGATCCTTGACGAATCGAACAATCGTGTTCGATAACGATCACTCGTCGTCGCCGACAAGTGATCCATGACAGATTTGGGAGGCATCCATGCCTTCTTTTCGGGAGCGAGACGCAACACATTGCGGTCCCGCTCTTCCTGCGACGTGCCGACAAAAGGACTGGCACCTCGTTGCGAAGTGGTGTCCACAGGAGAACCGACACCACTGTTAGCGCCCGAGTCTCGCGACCTCGAGCGCCTTCGCTTCGGCGATGGTTCATCTGATTCATCAGATGAACCAAAGATGCTGCGACGCAAAGCATCGTCCATGCCACGCTTGGCAGGCGGCTTAGATTCAATCGCCGTCGATACGGATCCGTCATCCGTATCAGGAGAGTACGAGACACCGAGCTCATACTCTGTGAAGACATGATTGTCTTCATGACCAGCGCCTGCATCACCAAGTGACACAGGCTGAGTCGGTTCAGCAACCGATAAGACATCAGTTGCTGTTGTTTCTGCTTCGGCGTCCGCACAGAGACGTGCGGATGCGCTCTCGGCGGCCTTGCTCGCGCATCGCATGGGCTTGTTAACCATGCGATGAATTGTTGGAAAGTGGACTCGGACCAACAAGTGCAAACCCTGTCCCAAATGATTTGGGACGAGTATCCATTTAGTCAATCAGTCACTAAAGTGACCGATGGTTAAAGTGGGGAGGTGATGTAACGGGGTGAATCGTTACATAACAATTTATAATAAATTGTTAATAGAATATATCTATAAGAGCTATATTCTCAGAATATTGTCATAAGGACAAATATTCTGCAGCACTTACGAGTAGTTCCTAATTGGTTGATATAGGCCATTATATCAACCAACGAAGACGCGCCACGACAGACGCACGCAATGAGTGGTGAGCAGATAGTTGATATGCACATTTATATTCAGACATAGTTAGATGAGGATAAACAGTGGTTTATTAACAGACATTAACTATTATAAATACAGTTCTACTTTTTACTTAAACTAAGTACTCGCTTCTCCTTGCCGTCTTCCTCTGCACGTACGAGTGTACGTGAGCTTACGCGGCACCGCCTTAATCTGTCATCAGAATAACTAACTTGTACTGTCATCAGTACAAGCTTGAGGGTGCCCCGTTACAAGTCCCGAGGGGTCTCCTGGAGCCGCCCACCGAAACGGGAGACGGCATCGACCTAGGATATGTCAACGACGAGGAGAGGGCTCCCTTTGAAATTGAAATCCTGCATAAAAACGGATGGTCGTGGTCTAAATTGGACGCTGTTACGCACTTTGGTGAATTAGCGGGACAGAAGGACGACGACCTCCGTCCGAAGCTTGTTGATTGGGTCAAGAATGTTTATACCTTCAACGATCAGAGCAACAGACAACACGATAACAAGGATGTGGTGGAGGACTTGGTGGAGGTTCTAGGGCAAGACCGACTGGCGGCGCTTCTTAACTCGCTTCGAGAGGCTTCCGGTACGGAGATCCTGGCCAAAAACATGCAAAAAGCATTTGCTGAGGCGTTTCCGGACAACTTGGAGTTGCAGATTACTGTTTGGCATATGAAGAGAGAAACTCCACGCTACGTTTACGACCTCTTGCCCATTGGACAGAGAGAAGAAGTCATACGTGATGGCAAACAGGTGAGACCCATCGACAGTCTGGAGCTAAAGCAGTGGATTGATTACGTCGACACGCGCAACACTATGGGGTGAAGGCTTTTCCGACTTTGATGTAATTAAGTGTCTGATTAAAGAGAGCGGTGCTGACGAGGTGGAAAAGGCTTTTTCCGCGCTTCGGAACATCCCTGGTATGAAGAATCGAGCTAAAAAATTGCAGTGGGTGCTCAATGTGTTGATGGCGAAATCCGATGAGTGGCTCAAGACAAGAACGAGCCCCAAAGATGTCTTTTAATGGTTGGAAATTGACAAGGAGAAAAAATGTGACTTTGGGGAGTTGCGAAGTCGACCCGACTTGATTTGCAAGCTCTCGCTTTGGTTAGAGTACGCCGACTCGTTTCGTGCAGAATACAAGACCTTTTCCGAAGTTGACGAATTCGATCTGCTGCTTAGCAAAAGAGAACCCGAAGAGATGACGTACTTCTTCCATTTCATGAAGATTAAGACCCAAGATTTCGAGCGCTTTGGAATGCACCAGAAAAGGTTATTCTATAAGTATCCGGATCGCGTGGACTTGCTGCTACCTCGGTTGGAAATGAACCCTTCGGATGCCCACGCAATCATGTTCGGCATGCTGCTAGATAGTATGACCTTCTTCTACCGGAAGGGTTCAACATCCAAGACAGACTCTTCAAGTAGCTTAGGTATGTTCATGACTCTGACGCTCGTGCTGATGAAGACGATAAGTTATCTAGCCACGATGTAGTTGACCTGCTGGAGAAGACAAAAAATTTGGTCGAGCCTGGAAAACTCCTTGATGTGCTCAAAAAGGAAAAAGGCAGGGAGGGCATAGCTGAGTGCTGGCAGAAGGCTTGGACTACTAAGCATCCGCCTGGACCAACGACCTGATTTTCAAGTTGTGGGCAAAGTCGGATTTTCGACCTCCAGCGTCTCCGTTGGTGCTTACGGTGAAAGTCGTGAGTCCGATGTCGTGAGAGGGGAGGAAAGATTATCTGCCTGCCTGGAGTTGGTACAGGGCTGAGGTACGTAGTGGTATAAAAGGGATCTCGTGGTCATGACTTTGGTGACGAGGCAGTGGGCGGTGTGGCGATGGTCCATAGGCAGAAGGTAAAGCTGGTAGCAGCTTTTTGTCTACTTTGAGCTGTCCCTGACATAGGGAAGTGCGCAGACCGACTGCTACGAGCTTCAGTTTACTGAAAGAATACAGCACGCGGGTGTCTCTTACACTATTTGATTGAGTTTTACTTCGACCGGCCAGACACACAACCTCTGATCGAAAGTCGAGGTAAAGAAGATGGTTGCGAACAGAGCCTCATAGCTTGGAAACTGCCAGCATAATGGAGGCAGCATCCACGCGGCACCAAGTGATGTCGGTGTTAGCACATTTTTCGTTTGTGATCTACACTTCCGCAGATAGCTCGTATAGCACGCATCGTAGGCGATTTTACTGTATTGTCGACGGTCCATTTACCCGCTCGTAGTCAGATATACGCTACTTCGGCAAGTGTGTCTTCAGGTCAGAGGCATCGAAGTTTGAGAGTGAAGAGAGACCACGCTGTTCCTCCTGTCAGTTGCAAAGATGGTCCGCTACGTGTACAGTGCAACATGCTTTACTCGTCTGTCTTGGTGGAGGTGATACCCGTCAGACTGCCACGCTTCGGAACATTCATCTTGTGATGCCACGGATCGATGCACCTCGCAGAACTATACTTGGCCTTCGTCCAAGACGATTCTTCCGGTGCTATATCCAGCTTGGCTCGCTTACTTTCACAAGCAGAGACTGAGCTCGTCGTAGCTATCAAGCTCCGACAATACCTCACATCAGAGCTGCGAGTTTTAGCAATCACAGTGTGAGCACATGCTGGCCCGCCTAAAGATGAACACTTCATGTTCAGAAACAACAGCTCTGTGGTCTTGTCACGGTAGTCAACGTGATGTGCTTCAACTGTCGTCCATAGAGCGAACGCACGACTAGGCAGGTGGGCCATTCGTGGGCCTTGGTAACTGTAGGACAACAACTTCGTCTTCAATGTGTCTATCCGTTGACGAACTCATAAACCATCAGCTGTTAGACGGAACGACACAAACGACAAACAACGTGGCACCCACATTTGCTCGTTACCTCAATTCACTCCAAATAACGGCGCTTTACCGTAAGTCGACCGCTTTCCGGGTGCAGATACCCTCGAATCAAAAACCGGCCAAAGCGATTCTTACCCTTGCCAAGCACAGTATAGCGGCTTGCTGCTCGATCGTCACCATCAGTTTCTTCATACTCGTGGCGCTCACTACCCGCATTTTCGTCCTCTCCTTCGTCTTCGGAAGACATAGGCAAGAACTGCAAGTCCAGCTGATCTTCTCGAACCTTGACCAACGTCCCCTTTAATTGCCGCAGCTTGAAAAATCCTCCGTACCTACCGGAGACAGGGCGCTTATCACCTTTGTGTCGAGGATGGGGCACGCTTGCGCGTGAAGTGTACTCGAACGGGCTGACACTCTCCATATTATTAAAGGCTTCCTCACCAAAACCCCACTTTCCGTGAAAGCACGCGCGCCGATTATTTCGCACCGAATATAAACCCTTGAGGATCGGGTCAGCCGCTTCTACCTCGAAAACTGCAAACTCTGGCGGAATAATGGGCTTGGGAAACTTGCGCTTCGATTTGTCGTGCCTTTGAGATGGTTTTTCAAGTTCCAGGGCACGTACGCGCTTCCGTTTCGTGTACATCATCAGGTTGCGAGGCCCACAATCTCCTCGAGTGTGACGTTTCTTCAGCCGCCCACCACCTATGTTTGCAAGATCTGGAGAGCTTGTACTACGAGCAGATGGCGGTGGCGAAAACGACTCGGATGATGACGACTCGGGTGATGACGAATCTGAGAACAAAGAGCCGGAGGATGAAGAGCTTGAGCTGCTATTCCTGCTGCTGCTGGAGCTGCTCTCGTTAGACACTGCTAGCGTGTCAGCGCTGTCATCGCTGTCAGTACTTGTGCTATCCATGATACTTTGTGTCGCGACTGTGGGATAAACGTCACCGTTTGACCCAAACACATCATCTGTGGTCTCAGTAATGACGTCAAACACGGAGGGATCGTTTACTGCCACCTCTTCTTCGTCATCGTCATCGTCGTTGGTGTCAAACCATTGATACTCGTGGGTAGTCCGTCCATCCTCCGCAACGAAATCTTCGGCCTTGTTGTGCTCGGGGAGCAGGTCATGGTCGTCGTCGTCATCGTCGTCGTCTTGGTGCATATCAAGCAGTTCCATGGCTTCGTCAGTGCTAAGATGTGGCACCAAAGGGATAATGGGTAATTTGGCAGGTCCTACATCTGCTGAGCCCGTCGCATTTACACAAGCAACCACGTCATCCACCAAGCACGAGACAACCTTGTCGACCTCCACTGTCATAGAACTGCTGTTCTGATGTGACTCAACAGCACAAAGACTGTCTGACGGCAAGGAACAATGCACAATTGCAAAGCCACTTGCCATCACATCTTCACCAGCCATCTCAACGTCCTCGTGCAAATCATCAGGTAACGCTTTCACAACTTCTTCACTCGATCCACAAACGACGACGTCATTTTCGGTCACCACGTCTGGCACCAAAGGCAACGCAGCCACTTCTCTTCCCCCGGCCCCCTCCGAAACTTCCACATCTAAGCCACTGCTTAACTGCGCTTTGTCACTTGACATAGTCTCAACCTCGACACCATCTTCAATCACGTCACAGCCATCAACAGTCTCCTTGATGTCTCCGTCCAGCCCGCAGTCGTTTCTCACCAACTGTTCATAGCCGTGACGCGTCTCTTCTGCTGCTCCAACCTGCTCTAGTGAAATTTCAGATCCATCAACAGTGTCCCGTGCTGAATCGGCGAGAGTGTAGCCATCTACCGACACTAGCTCGCCTACAAGTTCATCCACTTGCTTCTCTCCTCTGTTCTTCGTCTTCTCGCTGTCGCCTGTCGTCAAATCTGCTCGTCCAGAGACGAGAAAACCCCCGCTACCGAGCTGTGTATCACCTCCATCTTCTGATCCATTAATCAGCGTCCGACGTGCATTCTTCGATGTGATTTGCTCGTTCTCCGCCGTCAGTAACTCCAATTGACCCCCTTCGTGACTCTTTCCATCGCTGTAACTCGGCGAATCAGGCGTCGATTTCAACGGAACTTGGTGAGACGCATGCGCTTCAGCGTTGCGGTCCTGCGAAGATGTCAGTGGCTGTCGCTGCTGCTCTGTGGCCGGCGCCATGCGCACGGAACCTTCGTCTTCTACAGAGCTCACGGACCGGAAGCCACTCACTGCCAATGCGTGTGTGACTGTGAGATCGTACTTAAGCGCATTTCGTCTGAGCGTGTCATCTGATTCGCTACCAGGACCGTTTCGGGAACGAGCATTTTATCCACTCGTTTCACGCGATTGAACCATTTCGGGGCCTGGAGTTTTATCCACTCGTTTCACGCTGTTAACGCGGTGCCCAATCACTGGACGTGGCTCACTCGGGGATTCCAAGGCGACGATGATCGTGCCCGTGCGGTGCTTCACGTGTGGCAAAGTGCTGGCCAACAAGTGGGAGACGTACTTGGGGCTGCTGCGTGCGGACTACACAGAGCGCGACGCGCTGGACGAGCTGTCGCTCAAGCGCTACTGCTGTCGCCGGATGATGCTCACGCACGTGGACCTGATTGAGAAGCTGCTGCATTACAATACGGGCGGTACGACGATGAGGATGATGATGATGTAGTGGTATGGGTGGTTGTATGTCTGTTATAACATATTTGCTTACAACTCTGGTATTTTGCTCATTGTAGCCATTGAACGAGGCGACGATTGAGTGATCGGGTGGAGCAGACTACGAACACGGAGACATGAAGAGCTACAGTCGCTCTTATGACAGTATTATTCCTACTTAATATCGATTCCAGCATCTCTTTTGTCCTCTATGTCGTCGCGTTCTTGGCACCGAGATCCTCACTTGTGTTGTGTGTTCCTTCTTTCTCTCTGGCTCAGCTGATCAATTGGCAAGCTGGACATTTGACGCGCGCTCTCGGTCAGATGAACACCAGCTTTTCGATAATGTCCTGCTCCTGGTCACGAGGAGCGTCGCCCTTGAGGAAACCCCAGTGACGCAGTGTGCAAATGGCCCGAACAAAGCGAGCTTTATTCGCTTTGTCGTCGACTACCGTCCTCGTCTCGCCTTTGCTCTTAGCAGCTGCTTCGGCTTCCTCCCGTAGTTCTTGTGCGAAACTCTCGTACCACTCGCAAAGACTCAAGCTCGCACTCGCGCTCTCTTGGTAAAACAAGAAGGCGAGACCAACGTCATGAACCCACGTAGCTTGAGAGTCAGTACCGGTGCTGCTTCCGACATCTCTGCCAATACCGGCTTCTTGCAGCACGTTGCGGAGGTTGTCATGGTACTCGAAACGCAGTCGTTCTTCCAAGACGTTGGCATCCGTCAACTTTGACCAACTTGCGACCAGCGCGTCGGCGTGCGACGCCTTACTGAAGACTGACGGATGCAGTAACGTATGAACGAGATGATTCGTAAACACGCTCACGAGCTCTCTTCGCAGCGCTGCAAGCATCTTTGCAGGCGCCTTCTCGGCTCTCGCGTAAGCACACAACATGGCCAACTCACGCAAAGTCACTTCCACATCTTCTCCTTCGTCCTCGTACCGGCCGAACACGCGATACGAAGCGTGCCAATCCTCTATTATTCCCGACAGCAAGACCCATCTACAATTCTGCAGCCGCCGCAGTACTTCCATGAAGCGTGGCCCTTCGCCCAGTCTACCCTCAAGCGCAAGGGCCAAATGTGTCACAGCTAAACCTTCGTGCTCATCGCGTTTTGCGTCATCGGTACCATCAACGCGCACGTCTAGCCACGAGCACGCTGAGCGAAAACATTCCCACCCCAGTCGCCAGCGGGCGCGACGACGACGTTCGTTGAGCAATGCTGCCTCCAGAACGCTTATCAAGTCGTTGCCAGTAACTGCTGCATTCGGTGACGAGCGCAATACTCGTGCTTCCAAGTCTTTCAGCTCGAACGCACTACACGAAACAAGCCATGCAGAGAGTGCAGATTTAGACCCAGCACTCCTTCCTTGTGCTTCACGGATGAGATGTCGACGATGACGCTTCACCCAGAAAGAGATACGACGCGGTAACGGTGCAACATCAGCAGCAACCAGAATTGGGGACTCACCTGACGATGGCACACCATCTACAGCCAGCGCCAGGAAACTCCACGGGCAGCGTCTAAAGTGCGTAAACAGCAAGTAGCGCAGTGCAAGCAGGAGACGCGGGACACTTGGTAAACGACGATATCGGCTTGCGATTGCCCGGACAATGTTACCGCTAAGTGACAGCGGCAAGTTCTCTTTCACAACTAACGACTCCAATATGTCGTTAAAGCACTTTCGGGAGTCAATGAGAAAGAAGAATTGCAGCTCGAGCCGATTAGTCACACTCAAGTCCAAACGCCGTAAGGCCGGCGCTGTCGCCGAGGTCACTCCAACTACAAACCCCAACGTGCTACCTGTTGCCCTTGTGTAATCCTTTTCTTCCTGCTGTCGAACGAAGTGTGTCCAAATCTCCAAGAAATCACTGAATACTTGCTGCGAAAACACTTCGAGTTGTTCAATACATAGTAACAAATATGACTGATGAGCAATAGGCGTCTGTGGTGACACTAAGCTTTGTGCTCCAGCATCGCCCTTTAGATGGTAGTACTTCACATGCTTAGACATTTCTTGCTTCACGGATCTCCGTCGATCATTCATTCCAGCTCCATCCGTCGTGCATTCTTCCATACACGCTATATACTGACAGAATACACGATGAAGTATTGAAGCCAATGCCATCTCTGTGGTACCAACATGGCCGGTGGTGGAGTCGTTCGTATCAAGCGCAACGTTCAGGAGCTTCGCTGCTGTATCTCGACATGTTATGATTCGATGCTGTAGCCACGAAACTGCTTCGTCAAAACAAGAGACACTTCGAGACGTCCTGTCTTCCTCATTGCCTTGTGTCCGCTTCACCCGGGTCAATGCTTCCCCAAGTCGATCGCGCACCATCTTATCAAGTGTAGCTATGCACTCACAGCTTGTGTCGCTACTAGTGAGGGATACAAGCTCTTGAATATCTCGCCTGACAGTCGTCAGTAGCTTCGACATCGTCCATCGTCCATACGCCGCCGACGGACGTCGTCGTTTTCGCATCTTTCTCCTGGACACAGCCGACTCAAGATCAATTTCACTCCCTTCCGACGCAGAGCTCGGTTCCGAACCGCACTCATCACTTCGATAACCTCGATCCTCTACCTGCAGCACTCCATCAGCTACTCCGGATTGCTTAGCTCGGTCTTGTCGAGTCAACGGTCGAACGATGTTACAAGCAGCTACTGGCAATGCATCCACTGGCAGAAGATCGAAAGTCTCCACTAACCCTTGAAGCCACTGCTGCTCCTGGTGCTTGGCAGCACATAAATTCTCCAGTCTCGCAGCCAACCACTCAATCAATTTTCGAGCACTCGACACATCGCGCGGCACAACAATACACAGAGGGAATGTGTGGCGTAGCTTCTGTAGTAATGGCTCCACCCACAACTCATTTGAGGTTGCATCGGTACCAGTGACCACAGCAGCTATTGGAAATCCATGGAGCGATGGAAATAAAACGGACGCACGAGGGTCGCGTATTCGTTGTCTTGTAGATGGCGACTCTGTGGTCGAGTCAGTACCTACTGATAGTACAGATGACGTTGCAGCTTCTGCTACCGACTCGTCGGTCGCACAGAACTTCTCGAAAAACCTCAAGACTTGACTGAAACTCGTGTCGTTGTTCTTCAGTAGAAGCGCTTGCACAGATCGACGCGTCTTTTCGTAGGCGAAATGGTAGGCGAGTTCTTGACACGCAGGGTACGTCTCGGTGTCAATGGACCTACACTGAAGCCCGGACAATGGCGACGAAGCTGCTGGAAACGCGAACGGGAACTCCACTTGAGTACCTAGATTTACGGATGCGGAGGTGGCTGCGGAGTGGCCGGTTGGGTACTGAATGGACACGCCCGTGGAGAACGCTCGCGTCTCCATTGAGCTCCTCGGAATGAGACCAGCTGAAGCGGGAATAGCGATTATCATCCAAGGGGATTGCAGCAATAGCGTCGGGATTTCATCCAATCCGATTACAGCGGACGAGAGACGTGAGGTAGGAAGAATGGAAGCTTTTTCAGCTTTGTGTTGTTTAGATTCTCGGTGTGGCATTCTATGATGAACACACGCCTATTGATGCAAATAAACAGCAGGTAGTTAAAAGAAAGCACCGTTCATTGACTGATCGAGAAAGTTACACTGCGTTCCACTACGTTATCCGAAGACATCACTAGCTACCACGAGTTCATCGAATCAACTCTTTAGTTGCGGTGGTGGTGCTGCTGCTCACGGGCCTTTAGCTGTAAAGTCATGACAGAGTTACGTTAGCATGCAGCTCGACCTCAACAACGTCCAAATCGGAACGAGGCGAAGGAGCCGATGACCAGGGGACCGTTGCAGTTGATAGCATCAACTCCCGTTCGTGAAGACAGACACGAGACGATTTCAACCTCTTCTCCTCGTTGTAAGCTGCTGATCACAGCTCACAGCAAAGAAAGGCCGTTTGCAATGGGTCCACCGGTTTAACCATACCATTTGGTCGTCATCGGCTCCAGCATTGTCGATCCAACCAGCAAAAGAAACCAGTACAATCATCTTACCTGAGGCACGTGCACGCCGGCCAGCTTGAGGTCCAAGTGGACAAGTAGGTCCTTCGTGTCGTTGTCGATTTCAATGTTTTCCGTGTCAATGGCCGACACCTCCGGAACAAAGTCCATACGACGCTCGCGCTCTTCCTCCTGCAGCTTCAGCGAGATGCCACGCACCTGGCCGTGCTGGATACGCTTCATCAGGTGCGTGATGTAACCCGCAATCTTGTTGCGCATGCGCTTCGACGGGATGATGGCAACCTCATCGCACACACGCTTGTTCGTGTCGAAGTCAAGGGTGAGACGCGAGTAGTACTTCTCAATGATCTTGACGGCAGAGCCCTTCACGGTCTTGGTACGGACACCCATGGCTGCAGCTTCGGAACTCGGTCACAGTCAATTGTTACTTTCAGGAATGAGCAGCTCTCGAGACCAACCAACCGAAGTGGCTACGGGTGTACTGGAGTTATTGCGGGGTAGCTTCCACACAATTACGGTAGTCCACCCGGTTCATTTCATACAATTACCAACATGCGGAAAAAGGGAAGCCCCACTTTGCAGTTACGTGGGCCACACCCGGGACTAATGAGGCGTGCTGTTTTTCGGATACCTTCCAACTTGATAGAGGCTTGTCATGACGGAGAACCTCAATGGTCTCTTTACAAACACACAGTACCAACGCATCGTAAAAAGCTGGCGAGAGAACTCGTCTCGGTGTTCTCAACAAAAATTCCACAGACACAACTACACGGATCCTGTCAAGTTCTTGTGCGAAACTCTTCATCTCGCCCTACTCGTCCGCGTCATTAACCGTGACTAGTTCATACTCAACGGCTGACACATTGTCCTTGGTATTGATGCTGGGAGGTGGTGGAGGAGTCGAAGCCACCGTATCCGGATGCACCGTCAATTTGCCCCATTGCGTCACATTGAGCCGCATAAATCCGTTAAAGATGTCGGCATTCGTGTTGCGCAAAACCAGCACGAGACCTTCCTTCAGCACGTCAATCTGGTCTGCAGATTACAGTCAACTCAGCGTACAATCAGCACAGCAACCTCTTCAGCTTCCTACAATACGAAGGACGTACCGTTTCGTGCAGTGAACGTGACGCACCCCGTCTCGTCAGCCAGCACGGCCTCGGCGATCCTCGAGATCGAGCCGTCATAGCGTTTCTTCTCCACAACGGGTGCGACCGAAACCACCTGCAGCACGAGGTTATGACCTTGTGAACCGGGCGTCAAGTCCTGTACTTTTGCGTCTGTAGTTCATCCGCACATAACCGAGCAAATTGAGGGCGACTGGATGGGAACATTGTACTGTAGAAACAGGGAATGGAAACGTACAGGTAGCGCGTCGAAGTGTCCGCGCAGGTTCGGTAGCGGCAGCCATTGGGTCCCCCTGGTTTCTAACGGTAAAGTGCGATACTAACAGCTCAAACGCTGGCAAGTGAGGCAAGTTACAGTCCAAGAACGTCAATGACCTTGAGACGTCTGCACCAACGAGGAAAGATCGGACAAGGCGACGACTGGTGATTGGACGAAAATACGCTGCATGACATCGTGTGGAAGACACGATCGTCAATGAACAAAAACGAGACACGAGTCGGCACTGATTGAGACAATGAGGGCGTCTGTGTATATAGACGAGAAAAATATCGTGGCGAAGCGACACGACAAAGCGAACGACAGCCAATCGAAAGCAATACAAAGGGACATACAACCCAACCCAACCGACAACGAGAACGAGGATACTTCCAGGACCACGCAACGCGCAACCGTAGCAGCAAAAGCAGCAGCAGAAAACGACTTCAAGGGCCATCTCGACTCTGCCTTGCAGTAAGAGCCACGCCCGTGCTTCTTCTTCACATCGATACGGCAGCTACCGGGTCGTCGTTGCTGCATTGATGTACCAAAGTCTCCGGCTCTGCACCCCTGATCTCCTGATCAATCAGCATGTCGTTAGGCGTCGTCCTTGCGTCATGTTCCGCATCGTTCATCAGCCCGTGCTCGCTTTGATCTTTCAATTCTGCACCATCGCCATGTTGTGCGCCGGTTGACCCGTCCAATGCATCCTCTTGCTCCTCGTCCTCTTCTTCTTCTTCATCTTCATCTTCGTCAACGTCATCCTCTTCCGCAACGTACATAAAGGAAAAGTCAATCTCATTCGACTCGCGTCGGTGCTGGATAATCGCGTTCACCTCGGCCTCTACCGAAGCAATCACAGGCTCTTCACATCCCGCATTGTTCAGAATGATCTCACGCTCTTGCGGGTCAAGGTATCCCTCTTCCATGTAGTTTTGCCGGCCGACACGCCTGATCACAATGCGTCAGTCATACCACAAAAAATCAGTACCAACGTCAGTCTGTACAAGAACCCCCTCCCTCACATATCCATAGGCCTGCATTGTAAACCCACGTACTCGTCTGCTCGCTCCATCTCGAACGAATCCAATCGACGTCGAGACCGCGATCGCTCGTTCAGTGACAACCCGACGGGCACGCCGCCAGACGTGATGCTCGTGGTATACACCGTCGGCTCGAACTCGACAATGTCCGCGCACTCAAAGAACACGCGTCGCCGCTTGTTGCAAGGCCGCAGCTCGGTGGCTGCTCCAGCAAAGCTCTCGCTCAAGTCGCCATCAACTTGGTCCTCATCGCTGCTCTCGCTCTCAATCTCCCTGTCGTTTCCTTGTCCCTCTTCCAGCTCCTTGTCCAGTTGCACGTCATGGCCGTGGCCAAGACTCAATAAATCAGCTGCTGAGCTCGTGGGGCTGTCAGCGTCCGTCTGAAGTGTCTCTTTCGTAGGATCGATCGCTGATACACCCATGAGAGCGCTCTTGGTACTGGCAGATAACGTCACGGAGGCGTCCGTCGTATAACCCGGAGGAGAGGACAGGACCGCAGTGGACATGATCAAGAGCTTTTTGAAGGGAGGTACCCGCTGTCAAGAGCGTCTAGAGCAACGAGGAGGCGACCGAGGCCGTTGACAAGGAGGAAGGACTTGACGATCAGTTTTTCCTTGAACTCGGAAGCGCTTGTGGAGCCAGTGAGCTAACGGTGGGGACGAGGGGTGAGGGCTCTTTGCGGCACGGGATTGGTCAAAATGAGTTCCCCCTTCGCCGACGATCACGAGGTTCGAGACATGCTGTTTGATAGGCAATCGCTTTTTGGCGGGCGGCGTGGCTTATCCTTCTACGCAGACGGGCGATGGTCGTGTGACTGCTGCCACTGATCTATCAGTCATAACGACGCCACATACCATACTAGAAAAAGCGATGTGCGCGATTCTAACGAGCGTTTCTAATTGAAGCACTGGCGGGCACGAATGGACGGAGGGCCCGCAGTCACGCCTGTCCATGTGCATTGAGAAAAGCCTGCGATGAGCGTCATCGAGTCAGTGTCAGTAGACAGACAGACGGAAAGTGGACGTGGCCCATCGTAACTGCTGCTGTTGCTCTTGCGGAGGAGGCGGCGCCTGGAATAAGAAGCGTTTATTTTACTCGATACAGACCCTTGACTCGCTCGATAGGCACGCGGCGATTTGCGCAAAGTGTAGCTCGCTTGATTTAGTTACGTTGAACTCCTTGAGCACGCAGCAGCTCGAGTCGACAATCGTGTCTGAGACACACTGGCTCTTGTGCTGAATCGAGCGAGGGCTGTCGTGACCGCAAGGTGCTGATGCGATTTGCGCTGCTCTGATCTCCGCAAACCTCTTGGGCCAAGAGAGACGAGCTTCTTGAAAGGTGACGTCAGCAATCGGATGGTCGGCACCGGCTGTCGGAAAAGTGCACGTTGCTGAAGAGGGGCAGAACGCTAGAGGATGGTTGCGGCGACGTTCCCAGCCGCTCGTAGTATATCTGAAGCCCATTTCACATGTACCTGCTCGTCTAAATTGACCAGGCACAGACGGGCTCGTTCTGCAAGCGTGTGCGGGAGAAGTACTTTCAGCATAGCAGACGCCATCAAGCGGAGTGTGCGCGATTGCGCAAACCGCCAGCGCCGTCACAGTCCTGGCTGCGCACCGACGGTCGTTTTTTTGCCATGGACGGAGCAGGATACACTACCACAAGCTTCAAAGTGCTACGATGTAATCATTGCCATTGTGTAGTTGTATCTCGATTGACTACCGGTACAATCCAAACGAAGTGATGAGTGTGGCAGAATAACAGCCAAGCAGTCACACTGTCCAACCCTCCGGTAAACGCGACGGTCCACCACCTCGCCACACGTTCTAAAACGATCTGTTGACTACGTACGAGTAGTATGCAGTTAAACGCACTCTGACGTCAAAGTTCACTTGCCTGATTTAGTATGGACATTGCGATGGCAAATTATAAAAGCACGTTGGCGGGGCTGGGACGCGGCGCGAGCGAACCTTGCCGAGGATGTCTCAGCGACTTGCTCTAAACTAGAGAGACAAACGAATGGCGTACCGTCTGACTGAGCGTTACACAGTAACGACTTCGCTCAAGACTGGTGGAACCTTCCACGTTCGACCGCTCAAACTCTGCTTCTCGCATCCTCTGGACGTGCTTGGGATACATCGTGTAGCCAACAATGACTCAACCAGCGCAAAGTCCTCGTTGCTGCTCTTGATCACATCGGCCAGCGACGAGACGATCCTTGCGAATCGCTTTGACATCAAACGAAACTGCATCTGTGTTTTTGTAGCAGTCGAGCAGAGTCGAAACAGACAGCACAGGCGAGAGAGATGCAGACGTTTATTTCGAGTACCTCCGGCGGGCATTGAGCACATCTTCCAGCCTCAATTGATGATGAGCGATCATCAATTGAGGCTGGAAGATGTGCTCAACATGGCCGCCCCGTCTGCCTCGGAGCCATCCCCTCGTCCATGCATTTGACCTCGATCCCAATCACGATGCAGTAGCAATAGGAGCGTCAAGCTCGCTCTTTCTCTAGTGACAGCGTCTCGGACGTGGGAAGGCCAACCGCGTGTCCTTCGGCCAGGAGAAGCCATTCATTGCGAAGCACGTGGCAGTTGAACCCTCTCAACTTGGCACTGCCCGGCGGCACCGTTTCCACGCGAGTCTTTTTTGTACCAGTTCAAACTGCTGGTCAGAACCGGCTGACGCTCCGGACGGTAAAGACCTTAGGCTAGGGCTCGGGCATAGAAAAGCGAACAGGTCGCCCCTTTTCGCGCAACTCGGACCGCCAAGCGACAACTCACGCCCCGGTCGTCGCACAGCACCCACCTTTAGTCTGCAATTTGCCACCAAGATCGCAAGCCACGAGCATTAAGCGCGGGCGCGGGAGCTTGTCACACCACCACTTTGAACCTAACCCCCAAGCAGTCAGTCGGTGGGTCCCCTTTCTCCTCTCCTCTCGCTCCTCTTTCGCCTACACCTACACCTTTTCTAAAAACAAGATGGCAGACGCGTCAAACCTGGCATACAAACATCAAGCCAATGCGCCCAGCGTCGCCGTAAACGACAGCTACCCAGTCTATCAACCGCATCTGCAGACTATGCACGCGCCTCCGCCACCCCACGCCGTACGGTTCCGAGAACTCCCGCGCCTGCACGTGCCGCCCTTTGCCCTCACGCAGCAGTCCACGCCTGGCTGGAAGATGGCGCAGGAGCAGCCGGTGCCTCGCATGAGCGTGTCCCATCTGCTTGCTGGTAGTTTGTGGAGTCGCCCTACGCCTCCGCCGCCTCAGCTACAGACGTCGATATTGACGCCCCCGTCGTCGCTCGCTGTCGCTCTTGTCCAAGTGCCAGTGCTGCGTCGTCTGCCCAGCTTTGCAGATATCTTGGCACGCACCGACCTCTTGCACTTGATGGGGCGCTCGAGTGCTCCGTCTGAAGCTCCTCCCCCTATTGTAGAAGCGCCTGTGAAAGACGAAGTTCAGATGCAGCAACAGTCGGAGCACTTGATGACGTCCGTGTACCAGCAGCACGAGACGCCAATGGCCCTGTCACAAGCTGCAGACGAGAGCTTCTCGATGGTTCCTTCTTCTTCTTCTTCTTATATGGATACAAGCTTTTCCGTGGACCCGATGAGCAGTATAGGCGACGAGCTCGTGCAGAGTCCAATGGGCGCGGCGTCGCCTGTGAGTCAGTCGAGTGACTTTAACAAGCGGCGGGAACGCTGGACAGAAGACGAGCACGCTCGGTTCATGGAGGGGTTAAACCGCTACGGTCGCAAGTGGAAGAAGATCCAGACGTTTGTCCGGACAAAGACGGCGGTTCAAGTGCGTACCCACGCGTATGGCTACTTTGCCAAGCTTCTTCGCAACATGCCCGAGGACGACGCGATCTGGGAGCTTGCCGAAGAGATGAGCTCATTACCTGGTGCAGTACTCAAAGGTCCAGGCAGTGGCAAGCGCCGCAACGAGCCCAAGACGGACGAGGCTGGCATGGAAGTGCTCCGCCGCTTCGTGTTTTCTAAGAAGAAGTTGGATGATAAGAAACAAGGGGAGGTGTCGAATGAGTCGGTGAAAGACGACGACCGCGAGAATGTAGAGATGGCCGAGTCGACGCCTTGTCATGCAAATTCGCACCCGTCGACTGGATTGTGGAGCTCCACGCAGCAGTGGAGAGCCGACGATTCGGACGCGTTGCTGGAGATCAAGCGCCAACGTCTGAATTGAGTAGCAATATCCGTGAGTAAACAAAGACATTGTAAGCATCAGAATAGTACGAGAAAAAGAGCAATTCAACAAACGCTATTTATCGAACTTAGCAAGTGCAGCAAGAGCTTGGTTGGCTGTCTTGCCTGGCACAATGAGGACGTACTCCCACATCGCAGCGTCGGAGGCAAATTGTTGCGGCATTGAGTTGGTATAGGGAGTAGTATCAAGTCAGGGCGAAGGCACGTGGGACTGAAAATCAAGCGCAACACGTTAATGCACCGACAGTTTCGAAGATTGAAGGGATATTCCTAAACTTTTCACGCCTTGACGTGATCCCACTAAGCCGCATGCGCTCCGCTCTATACAATAGGGTGCAGAAAGCTTGGCTACGATCGTCATTTAGGCCCTATGCTGGTGCGAGAGACTTGGGCAAGCGGCTATCCACACTTTCTTTCGACGACCGCATTCGCTGACGTCACAGCCAGCCCCTTTCAATGGCACCTTCTTTGTTAGAGAAGAAGGTAGCATCGTCTCCCCTAACGCATATGGATGCGTGATCTACATGTGATGGGGCACGCAGAAGATAGGGACGCCAAATGAAGGGCAGTTTTCTTTGAATAAACACTCGATTGGTTGGCCAGCATAAGAAGCAATAGTGGCTGCGCATATTGTCCACAAAGTGGGTTTCGCTTCCAATCTTAGCGTCCACCATCCTCAGCTGTTCTGCCACGTGCGAAACTTCTTGTCGCAAAAGGCCAGAAACAGAACGAGGCGCCCGCTGAGGCACTTCGAGACGGAACAACGGGAAACCTCGCATCAGTTTTTCGTGGTGGCAGGCCAAACGTCGCGACAAACCCGTGCGGAAGATTTGACTGGGTGAGGCATTTAGGGTCCCCACTGCAATGGCTGGCGCATTGGTTTGATTCGATAAGAAGCGCGACGGTAAGTTAAGTGGTGGAGACTCTGATCAATGGCCATCACTTGCAAGCATTGTCCGTGACTCCAGACGAGCTTCATAAAGTTTATGGGTGAGGAGGTTAAGAGAAGGCGAAAAGATGGCGCGTCGGGAGCTATTGGAGGTCGCGTATTCTGGCTCGGAATCCGGTGGATGCAGTTAGGCACGGAAGGTGGGATCTACACTCGACCGGACGCGTTGCAGCTTAAGACGGATTGATTTAGCTCGTGAGCGTAACATGATCGATAATAGTAAGACAAGCTTTGCGACCCCCTTGCCACACACGTGGGACGAAACGTGTTTTTACGAGCCCGAAGGGTAATGCCATTAATGACTGTGCGCGAGGTGAATGCCGCACTTTTGAATCGTACTTATTGGTGTGTCTGTCAATGCATAACGCGGTTAAGTATACTTTCACGTATTAAGTGCGATCTAGAATGAGTATCCTCAAGGTGTTAAGGTATATCTCAAGTCACTCTTTGGATAGGTCACCAATGTGATGCACGCACATGATTGGCTCATCTTTGATTGGATGATCACACAAGCAAATGCTGTCCACACATAAGCAAAGGCCGGTCGCGTTGCACAAGTGTACTGTACTGTGTTAATACATGCATTAACAGCGTCATGCTCATCCTTCAGTGACAGTTGTTGTATAGTATTTGCGACCCGATTCAGGCATATGAACCGGACTACTTATATCAATGGGCGAGCTCCAGAGCTTGCTCCCCAATTAATCGCTGCTCGATGTATGTCGTGGTCTAAGCCTGCATGACAAACTCGGTACTCGATCATGTCCGGTGATTGTATCCTGCTAATCACGCCATGGGTATCATCGAAATGACAATGCTACGCTGCTGAAGAATAACACTGCATTTGTCCCCACGAATTGGTACATTAAGAACAAGCAAGACGCTTACTGCTCCTATTGCACCGTCGCCGCATGATCGACGCGTGTTGTGCGGTCCTATTTACCGCTTCCCGACCCGCCGTACGCGCTAGCACGACTGTCAAAGGATCGGCGAGGACACGTGACTAGCCGTAATTTTTATCCCCTATGATACGAAGGTAATCGTAACCGACATGAGTATATGCACGACACACACAACACTCATACAACCGTCAATATGTCAATCATATAGAGTAAAAACAGTATCGACAGCCTAGCACACTAGTAAGGTATCATAGCTGCGATTTCTTCAGTGTAAAGGGGTTACACATCGCAGGGTACTTGGTACCTTGTGTCTTAGACACACGGGATGGCATTCTACTGTAAGAGATGTAGAATATCTGATCGGTTTATAGGGGCTGAAGGGTGTCAGCCACAAGATAAAAAACATCTTGAAGATACTAGTCTAGGAAACGAGTGCCTGGATGAGGTAGTATTAGGAATTAGATATTCTGTAAAGTCAAACGTAAATAAAGCTCAGTTCCCCTTTTGATCTTGTCTACGACACGTGCCTTGCAAGCAGTCTCTGATCGTTGAACATTAAGAGTTAGCATCACCTCCCTGAGGTAGCTATTCTTGAGCACTAAGTGCTGTAGCACTGAATCGTTTGGTTCCCTGGAACAGATACATTGAGATTTATGCTTGCTGACTAATCGAGTCTAGCTCTTGAGAACTGATAGTGCTCGTGAGTACTAAGTCTTCCTCTGACCTAAGGAGCTGTTTAGCGTTGCTACACTTGGTAGCACTTGTAGTCAATCTACGCCTGAGTCAAAATTCGAGCATAGAAAACCCCCACTCCCGTTTTGAGGAATAAAACGTCGCGTTTGATAAGCTGATGTCAGCTTTGGTCCAGAGTTTGTGGAATTGTTTATATCGCACGGACCGGAGGTTTTGGTTGATCGTGTTGAGGGCTTCTTGCAGATGAACCATCCCTTCAGGGCAGGTCCAATACCAAATGACGTCAGATATGACTACACGCTGTGTTTCTGTTCCATACGAAAAAGCTAGGCCTTGTCCACGTGGAGTGGAAGTTAAAAAAACTCAGGAAAGAAGGGTGAAAACCTCATTCTCTGGATCCGTGAGAAAAGAGTGGTCATGAGATCAGGCATGACCAAGATTGACCATCAACATGTCTTACTAGCTACCTCAAAGCTCGATAAAAGAGCTAGAGAATTGGCCTTGAAGTGCAGCACGTCGGTCGACTCGGCGTATCCCACATGGAGATCGCTTTAGTCACAGTTGATATAGGTGCTTTTACTACCGAAACAGGCTTACCGCGTGATTTTACGCATTTTATCAAACCTTCAGGGTAAGAATGAGTTAATGGACTATGTCCAAGAATTGAGAATTCTCATGGCTGCTATGCAGTCTGACCCTCTGCCTTAGACTGTACATGTGAACACTTCATGGAGGGTCTCTGTACTGGCATTGAGAAAGTCGAATCTTTTTGGGTGCACCCATCTACATTCGAAGAGGCTGTTAATATTGTTCTTAATGCTGAAAATAATGTCAAGTCGACCAGACTCAACTGGAATAGGTACAACTTCAGCTCTGCAAGAGCAAACTCCGTGGCATGAGTACCCCGACCAATAGGCCGGAGACGATGGATCTCAGCTATGCTGAAGGTGAGATTAAGATTCAAGCTGCTGAGAAGCAACGTATTGTACGACGGTGTTATACGTGCAGAAGCACTAAATACTTGAGACCTGGTTGCTTTTTCCGTTGAGAGCGCCAGGCTGGGAGTCAACACTTTACCCCAAGACAGAATTTCAGCATGGCACGAGGAAATGCCGAGATCCAGTAGGCGCGGAAAGCCCTTCTAGGGAATAATTAGGTTCTGTAACACCTTCAGGAGGAAAAGTTAAACAGATCTTAGCCCCATAGAGTTCCATACCCACTGGTATGGAGCGTGGATACAAGTCTGGCTTGTTGGTCGCTAAGCCGAAAGTTGAAGGCTTTGAAAAGCCTTGGCAGATTCGAATCGATTCTAGAGAGTCTTTAATTATACTCGACATCGTTCCCTTGAGGAATTTCAGCTTTTTGCCAAATATCTTACAGAACATGAGGGTGATTTAACAAGGAATCCTTTAGCGACGGGAAGTCGTGTCACTGTACCTAAAGTTCCGTCGAACTTAGGTATAAAGTAATTGGACTTTGATAGCTTTGAATGATGCGTGTCCTTGATTTAGACTCGATATAATTTCATCCCAGGTATGGCTTGGCTTGAACGCCGTGAGCAATGGATCGACTGAAGGTCTAAGCCCTTACGCGCTACGCGCAATGATTTTAGCGAAGATTTAGGAGACTCGTGAACCCAGCTTTGCTAGGCAACAACAGCACTATTGGAGCAATCCTTTGACAGGAAATGTCAATGTGCTGGACATTGATATGTCTGAGTTAAATAACTCCAATGTTAAAAACATAAATTCCGAGTGTAGCTGGTCGAGCATTAGTTATGCGGCACGTACTCCTTTAAGTGTTACTCGTTTTGATAACAAGTCACTGCATGCTGAAACATGGTTGGCCTAGGGCCGAGCTATCAAGGATGATATTCTTTTGATTTTTGTGCGGTGGCACGCGATAATTACACCGAGTGTGTGCGGCCGTGAAGGTACCACACTTAATGTCGGTAGTGACATTGTTGGCGAAACGCCATTTAGTTCAAGGCTAGGCCCTTAAAAAGGAAATGTAATGGCACGTTTGAAACCACTGGGTGAAGCGTTCGAGCTACGTAACACTTTACCGGATGTCGATCAAGACATCGGCTCTCGTGTTGAGCGTACTAATGCTAGTAGTAACCACGAAAAAACTATTTTCCGACCCGAATGGACTGTAAAGTATCATGGAAGAGACGGCCTGGACGCCAGATGGCAACTTTTACGCGCCAGGCGTCCGAGCAGTCACATAATGACAATAGTGATACACTGCATGCACGTTTCCACGGAGTGACTAGCCAGGTTGAGGCCATTGTTAGCCTGCAAATCCTTCCATCTCTAAATTCGCTTTGAGAGCTAGAAAAAATGGCGGACTACCAGTATAGCCAGGTCTTGAAGGCAGGAGACCTATCCAAATTAATGGTCATTAGATCCGTTGTCGAGTTGAACTCGTCCTCAT